TATACTGAATTTTAGTCACTCACTGTATTTCCACAAACTGTTTGTGATAATAGTCATAAAGTGTGATTTGATTACTGCAATGCAATAATTTTTTTGGAAAGTTGTTTATCTGTTTGAAAACAATCGATGATTCTAAGATGAGATCGAAAAAAATCAAGTCCAAGTTCATGCGCCGCTAAAGAGCAGGTTTTTGCAAAAGACGCGTCGAGACACTAGATGATATCATTCAATCGACTGCAACACCACACCCGTCACTTCGCGGATTTCCATGACTTTTTCACCACCCTTCCTACGGTGGATTGTATTGCCGTGGGCATTCGCGTCCTCGTAGCTGAAATCAATTGAGATCCTCTCAATCTCCCTCCCGCCGCTTTTCCATTCAGCCAGAAACTTTTCCGCTAAATCCAGGCATCTTTCTGGCACATCGGCACAGGCCTCGATCGCGATCTTTCGATTCTGGAGTTGTGCATAGATTCCTGGCGCTTCTCCACCAATCACGCGCACCTCGCCAACCGATTCCGTCAAAAAGCGGCAGATCTCCGGGGTTGGGCTGAACGTTCCGATAGAGACGCGCTGATAGCCACCATTTCGAGGGCGACTACGCTCCAGTAAATCCAGCGAGCCCGTGGTCTCGAGCAATTCCAGGTTGTGGGCTTGTAGTCCTGGGATTTGGCAATCTACCGCATTTAGGTTCAGATCCATGACGATGGCTTTTGAGAACAACAGCTCTTGGGTGGCGAGGGAGGTGATGGAGTAGCAACTGGTCCGCCCATCGCCCTGTTCGAATGCCCATAGCGGCTGGTTCTTCACGCACATCAAAGAAAGGTGTGCGTATCGCTTCTGGCCGGTGCTGACGTAATGGTGGAGCGTTTTGCTGCTGAACGCATAGCGCGCCAGCGATCTGACGTCGAGGTACTGCAGGAGATCGTAGTGAAAAGTAGATGGCAGTCCGAGAAAGTCCATTGTCTGAAAAATTACTTTGCCAAAGGCTAAAGACGCTTAATTTAATCGGTAGTCAGTGTGAGAGCATATATTTGAGTGGATTTTACGATGAGTGAGATTCATTAAGCAAAAATAGCGGGCGTAGGGGCGCCAAGTTTCTGCATTTTGGCCCTTGGCCCTAGTGACGGAGGGAAAAGCCGAGGCAAAAGCGCACATAAAGCCGGTGTTGCGGGGGGCGGGCCGTCCTTGGCCCCAGCTGCAATTCCAAGGCCGCGGACCCAAGCTATGATGAGAAGTTGTCGTATACACATAAAAACGAGGTGTAAAACTTTCATAACGTCAAATTTCACGTAAGCAAATCTCCCGGCAAAACCCCAAATGCCCCGAAATCCTATAAAAAATACGATATTTTGAAATTTCTACAATAGAGATTCGCACGTTATTAGTTTTAGCACTATGAATTTCGAGATTATGATAGCAAATCCAGAAAGTTAGTAAGGAAGATGAAACCTGCAAATACATATAAACCTGCCCGCAGAACGGAAGCCGAGAAACAAAGACACAGGCCACGCAAAATTTTAGTAATCGGAAAGCCTGGAAGCCCGTGCTGTCTATCAGCCGTCAGGTGGCCTACCGCCTAACGCTTTACTCTCCCACCAAAAGTATTTTACGGAATTTTTAGATGCTATAAAGTAAGAGATTTGTGGCATTTTGGGTCTTGAAAACGCTTGTAACTTTTTAATCTGAGGGGTTACGCAACTTTTGAAAACGGATTCGGAATCAGCGAAAAATTCTGCACAAGGTGTGATATCTGACGAAACGAATTTCCACTTCGACCATAAGATGGTTACAGTCAGGTAATGGTGTATCTCACCATTTGATCGTAATATTCCCAATGTTCCCAGGTATTTAAGCTTCAATTGAAATCACAACGGTTTTACTCAGAAATTGACATTGGAAAGAACCAATCGCATTGATCTTTATTAACTCAATCAATGGAATTATGACGAATTCTTGGTCATCGAGGTTTGTGGCGGCACTTATACTGCAGCCATCGTGTAGTCCATTTTGTAGTAGTTTTTGCTAAATACAGGATTTCGCTGTATTCCTAACTTCTAACCTGAATTGCAGGTACCCATATTTCTCACTATTACGTTCCATCTCTTCGTAGAAGCGCAGCGAAATTTGGCAAAAGTTTGGCCGGTCATCAGGGGCTTCCAGCCAGGCCTCATTGCAAATTTTAGCGCTAAACACGATGCAGTTTTCGACGGACACCTAATTACATCCATTCTGGCGTGTCTTCTGGAATCATCAGTCGTTTCTCCGATTTTAAATGGGGTAGAACATCTTCTTGATTCAGCGAATGGAATGGCGTTTTGCCAAATGAATACATTTCATAAAGCAGGATCCCGAATGACCAGCTTAAAGTTGAAGAAGTAAAAAAACTAAAAAATTGAGCCTACACATCAGATTTCGTCGAAAAATTGGCAAATTCAATCGATTCTGGGGCCATCCATTTGATGGGTAGTTTCCCGCCGCGACTGTGATAAAAGAGTTCTTCTGAATGTCGGCAAAGTCCGAAATCGGAGAGCTAGGTTTGGTTTTTGTAATCATTGAATTACGTTAGGTTACTTTAGCCATTTTATGTTTATTCAGCAGCACATTTCTCGCTGCAACATCGCGGTGAATTATGTGTTTGCTGGCGAGGAAAGTCTAAAAATACTGTTATTTAGTTCTCTGAAAGTAATTTAGTTTTACTGGAAAAGCTTACCAAAGCATCACTGATTTGCCACGCAATTGGAACGAGATCGTTAAATTCGAGAATTTTTATCTAAAGCTCGTCTTGTTGGTTTTCAAAATCCGCCTCCTGAACCTCATTTGCATACTGTGCCCCCAACTTCCGCACTAATGTCAATAGGTCGCCCAATTCACAGTGTTCCGTCAAAATCAGCGGAAATTTCGCGTCACTCGAGCACCCAATTAACGATAGAATATGTGGGTGATATTCCAGCTTCTTCATAAATTCGATTTCTTGCAGGAATTCCTTTCTAAAGTGGGTTTCTCCTAAGGATTTCGATATCTTGTACCGTTCCTCTGCCGTCGAATAGCCATGAACAGTTTTCACCGCCACGTAATTTGCCTCGTTTGATAGAATGTAAGATAGCTAAAAATAATGGAATTTCGTAGTCTGTAGTTTCTACCTGCATCGAGGGATAGACTTTCGCGACTGGTGGTTTTCCCAAAAGATGACCCTTGTATACCGTAGCATAGGCGCCGGAGCCAAGCTTTTCTTCGAATATTTGCAGATTATTAGCAGAAACTTCCCACACGGAATCGTTGCTAAAATAATGTCAACCCTTAAAAGTATGGCCGTACGTTTTGCTGTCCACTCGATGAAAAGTATCTTTGAACGTAAAGCTCATCGTTTGAGACTAAAAATTGTTGATGAAGGACGTGTTGTGCCAGTTACCACTCTCCGGTCGTTCTTCATTCTGGCCATGTATTTTTGGAATCGGTCGGACTCGGCTTGTACTCGGTCGTTGATTACTTCTTTTAGGTTCGGATCGGTCCAATCGATTCTGAAAAAAAAGCTTTTCGGTTTTTTCGGTGGATGAGGGAGCAGGGATCTTTTGGGAAACTTAGGGACCAGGGTATAAATGGGGGTTAAAGATAAAGATAGACGACCCACCCGCGCAAATTTGGCCACCAACAACACTGTCGACACCAACAGCAGAAGCATACGACGGCCCCGATTAAAGCTGCAGAAAAAACGAGCAGCGAAAGGAGCACGATCTCCCAAACTGGGAATTTCTTGGAGGGCTTTGGAAACGAGGGGAGTTTCCCTAAAAATTGCCTTATAAACGTCGACTTATGGAAATGACATAAGATACCGGGTTTCGAACCCTAATCCAAGAAAACAACGCCGGCAAACCTCTCCCGAACGAACCTGCCGGCATCGGCGGGCACATGCCATAGGTATCCATAATTGCAATATCATTCAAGTAGTCCTCAGCAGACTTAAAAATGCGGTTCTCGCGTTCAGGGGGCTCGAGAACATACAGCTTCAAAGTATTGTCCGACGTCGCTGAGCTCGCCGATCTTCTGTAGCGTGGTGTTGTCCTCTTCCCTCAGTAAATCGGCCTGGAAGGTCAAACGGGTCCACCAACATTTACCTACCTGAGTCCACAAAAATCGGACGATCGGGTAAAAACTATCCGGCGGCATTCCTTTTATGATTCCGGTCAATTGGTCAAAGAAATCCGACTTCACTTGGGTGACTACAAATCGAGGCTTTGCGATTTATTGCGAGGCTTAGGTTTGGCTTAGGCTTAAGCTTTGGCTTTCACTTTAAACTTACAATTTCCTGATCCAACATTTGTAATAACAAACAGCACATTTTGATAGTCCTTCTTGACAGCAACAGGGCTGTGGAGGATGGATTGGATTTGATCAAGTAAAAGCTCAAGGTCAGTATCACTAAAATAATAAAAAATAATGGAATTCCTCAAAAATTTGTATTACTTGAACAATCGATGGAATCGAGGGAAATTCTGGATTATTGCCTGCCGATCGGTGCTGACGGTCATTGGTAGAAAGGTGTGATCAGTGTCAGATTGGTCGACGATGGTAAATACACTAAAGTTGACAGGTATCGGAGTATTAACAATCTGCTATTATTACCTCTGATTTTTACCCAAAACCTCATCGGTTTCCACACATTGGGCCATTATTCTTTGGACCATATTTAAATGCGCGTTGACATCCGGTTCGCATTCTAATAGTAATTAGACAAAGAGCTTGTATTGCGTGACGCAGATGGATTTGTCAGCGAATGGGGATACTAAAAAAATAACTATTAATAAACAAAAAGGATACCTTAAATAATAGAAAGTGTTTAAAAACACAAAGCCTAGTATTTTAGCTAGAGAAAAATGCTAAAAAGTGCACTTACAATCTCCACAAACATCTCCAGTATAATTGCCACCTGGATAACTAGAAGTTGCAACGGAAAGAATGAATAAGCACAATACGAATATAGAAATTTTACAGCCCGAAGTCATGTCCTTTAACCCTGTAGACCCCGGGCTCCCTTTATCAAAATGAACCTTTCCCGGCATCACACACCCGTAATGCGCTTAATTCCCAGTCAGTCGATACTTTGGCCCCCCGTCATCTTGATGCTGAAAATTGTAATAATTCTGCTTTTCGCTTTTATAGCTATTTCGCTGGCCGTTGAATGCGTGGTTGACAGAATTCAAAAGGGGAGTACCATACGGAGCAGGTGAGCGGATTTTGATGCGTTCATCGACGCTAATCGAGTTTTTCAGCTCAACAAGTTATTTAGAAAGAGGAATTTATCTCGAAACATATTTGAATGGCGCTTTAAAAATTTTTCAGGCCACGGGCGTACGCTGCCACGTCTGGTGCAAGTACTGTCTGAAAAAAGTGGTAAGGAATTTTTTCATTTCCTGAATCCCTTTTTTGACTTGAACTTTGGATCCGATGACGCTGTTAAGTAATGAATTAAGTGTTGTAAGCGATTAATAAGCCAATTTATATACATTAAATACCGCAAACAATTTTTGCTGCAAACAATTTCACTAAAAATTCTGGAAGAAAGTCTAACTACCCTTTTTTTAGTACGACACCAAATCGTGGGGGTTGACGGATTGGAGCTGTGGCTGTGGAAGTACTACAAAAGATATCTTTTGTAATGTAGGTTTTTTTGGGTAAATTTTTTATTGTCTAAGAAATCGATCCTACATTTCGGATTTAGGGCACCTGGGAACGGTACCAAAAGGAAGGAAACCAGTTCTACTGCTGCGAAGGAGACTATTGCAACTCTAGCAATTTCCCTAGTATCTTGATCGCCCTCTTGTCCACTTTGCTCGTTTTCCTAATAAATTATTGATCCGTGTCGAGGCGTGGGATTATCGGACATTTCATCACAATCGAGATTCCGCACGGTTACTCATGCCAGTCAGCCCACATCCCCACCCCGAAAATGTTGGTCAGCTTCCTGTCTAAACTATATTTCGAACAATCACTAATCTTTATACCAGATGGTTACAGTCGCTTCGCGACTGCAACCATCTGGCCTTCGCGCTACCCTACATATCCCACTCCACCACATCCTTTCCCACCCCCATCAATACCCCCCATGGCTGAAATCCCCGTCAAAAACTACCTAAATACCTTTCCGATGGCTTTAGATACCCCCATAGCCGAAATCCCCTTCAAAAACTACCTAAATACCTTTCCGATGGCTTTAGATACCCCCCATAGCCGAAATCCCCGTCAAAACTACCTAAATACCTTTCCGATGGCTTTAGATACCCCCCATAGCCGAAATCCCTTCAAAAACTACCTAAATACCTTTCCGATGGCTTTAGATACCCCCCATAGCCGAAATCCCTTCAAAAACTACCCAAATACCTTTCCGATGGCTTTAGATACCCCCCATAGCCGAAATCCCCGTCAAAAACTACCTAAATACCTTTCCGATGGCTTTAGATACCCCACATAGCCGAAATCCTTCAAAAACTACCTAAATACCTTTCCGATGGCTTTAGATACCCCCATAGCCGAAATCCCCGTCAAAAACTACCTAAATACCTTTCCGATGGCTTTAGATACCCCACATAGCCGAAATCCCTTCAAAAACTACCTAAATACCTTTCCGATGGCTTTAGATACCCCCCATAGCCGAAATCCCCGTCAAAACTACCTAAATACCTTTCCGATGGCTTTAGATACCCCCCATAGCCGAAATCCCCGTCAAAAACTACCTAAATACCTTGCCGATGGCTTTAGATACCCCATAGCCGAAATCCCCGTCAAAAACTACCTAAATACCTTTCCGATGGCTTTAGATACCCCACATAGCCGAAATCCCTTCAAAAACTACCTAAATACCTTTCCGATGGCTTTAGATACCCCCATAGCCGAAATCCCCGTCAAAAACTACCTAAATACCTTTCCGATGGCTTTAGATACCCCACATAGCCGAAATCCCTTCAAAACTACCTAAATACCTTTCCGATGGCTTTAGATACCCCCCCATAGCCGAAATCCCGTCAAAACTACCTAAATACCTTTCCGATGGCTTTAGATACCCCCCATAGCCGAAATCCCGTCAAAAACTACCTAAATACCTTTCCGATGGCTTTAGATACCCCCATAGCCGAAATCCCCGTCAAAAACTACCTAAATACCTTGCCGATGGCTTTAGATACCCCCCCATAGCCGAAATCCCCGTCAAAAACTACCTAAATACCTTTCCGATGGCTTTAGATACCCCCCCATAGCCGAAATCCCCGTCAAAACTACCTAAATACCTTTCCGATGGCTTTAGATACCCCCCATAGCCGAAATCCCCGTCAAAAACTACCTAAATCCCTTGCCGATGGCATTAGATACTTTAAATAATTTAAATAATTAATTACCATAATTAAAAAGTATTAAAGTAACTTAAAAACACTATTTGGACGCGTGAAGGGGCCTAGGGAAGTGGGGCGAAGGGAAAGGGGGCGTAGCCTCCCGGGAGAGGGGCCCCCCACTCGTTTTATTAAGGCGCCACTTTCAAAGTTAATTTTAATAATTTAAACTAAAAAGTTTTTCATAATTTTTTTATCAGTTTGGGGGTTTCTGACGGCGCTCTATCCGAATCCGAAGAGAGCTAAGCTCTAGCTCCTTTCCCCTTCGAGTTGAATTCGGCTTCACACAGAGACCACAGCAAAATTATTATAGTTGATTCCTTATGATATATCTGGTGACAAAAGCTTATCGATATGGAAAAGCCGGTCGCTTGCCCTAAAATTCAAATTTATTTTGATCTTTTAGAAAACGCCATCATCGTCAAACCCTGACCTGTTTCTACAAAATTTGCCATCATAATGTCGAAATTCACAATGTCGAAGTTTCGTAATATCGGATCTTCTGGAAAGTTTTCTTATGCAAAATGTCGACATTATGGATTTCGGTATTATTAAATTTCGACATTCTGAAAGCGACCCTTTTCGAATGATTAAAAATATTTGAAAAACTCTGATTTTTACTAGACATCCACAAATTCCTGTAAAAATTTTTGAAAATGCCAGAGGTTACACTTAATTTCAAGGGAAGTTACACTTTTTGATTGAAACGCCAGCTTTTGTGGCCCCAGCTAAAAAGCACATTTTCTTTGATCCAAAACCATGGTATTTTTGGATTCTTGCTAATTTTAATCAAGGCGGATGGGTTTTGAGCAGCAATACTTTAAAGGAAAAAACCTAGGTGAATTCTTTGTCAGTTTCTGCGTCTAGATTTTGGGGGCTGGTTTTTATGGAGGTGATTTTAGAGCTTTCGATATTCGTAAAAATTTCCTCTTCTTTGCACGAAATCTGCCCTTTGGTATGTAGTTATCGCAACCTAGAAAATGGGCCAAAATGCACTTCGTTTATAATCTTATTATCAGAATTTATTTGATGTTTCTGCTCGGATAGTTAAACATTTTTGCATCTTTTATGGCGTGAAGCCCTCATTGTTTTGTTTTTCCTTTGCTTTCGAGCCGGTTGCTTCCACAATTTTTCTGCAATAATACCAATCCTATGATGCACTGTCTCAAACATTTCTGACCAAATTAGCACTTCCTTTTGCCAGGAGATCATGTGTAGTGAAGGTGAAAGTCACAAAAACCCACGAGAATTAGAGCGTTAATCATTTTCCGAGTCATGAATTCGTGTGATTTCTATGAATGTACCTAGAAGCTTTCTTAATGTAGGATCCCACCGGTTTGGTTCACCCCAATTTCAGCCTCAGCCTTCATTGCTTGCCAGCCACTTGAAAATGGTTCATCTGGGTCTGCATATACTTCGTATCGGCCTTATCCCAATCCCAATCTTGGCAAATCTGGTGCTGCTTTACTTCATCTTTCGATTTTCCAAGAAATCAATGGGCAAATATAAAATCCTAATGGCAACTTTTGCAATGTTTGATATTTATTTTTCCAGCGTTTATCTCGTTGTTGGTCCGGTAGGGTGCCTAAGTCATCAAGTGTAACCCCTTCCAGAATTTTTACATTTATCGGAATTGCGTGTTCATTTTCACGACGGCTCCCTGGATAACCGGAGCGCCAAATGATTGGGACTTTCGTGCTTGCGACCTTTACGCCAGCGCCTTTGCATTGTGCCTGGTTTTGTTGGCGTTGCATTTTGTGTATCGCTATATTGTGCTATGCAAGTGGGTTTTTGGGCTTTGTGCTCATTCGACGATCCTGGGGACGCTTCGCATAAGTTAACATTGGAAAACGATACCTACACCTTAAGTTTAATTATTTAAAGGGATAGGGAAGCCCAGTAGATCAGAGTTAATCTAACAAGCAACAAATGGCAACAAGCCAACCGGAAATGCTAATGCAAAAAAGGGCAGAGCGCAGGAGGAGGCAGGAGGGAGAAGAAAAAACAATTCATCTTAATTTAGAACCAAACCCTATTTATGCCAATTTTTCCTGGATCTCCCTGATCCCTTTAAGAAACAACCACTCTTGGCTGGTCGACCGCTGGGCCTCCCAATTCTGTTGGTTCTTGTTTGCCCTGTTCATGTCCTTTTGCTGGGGAGCCGCCGTGCGGTTTGGGATGTACCATGGAGATTTGGCCAAAGTGAGACTGCTTCCAAATCTTCAGAGCCAACAAAAAGTAAAAAAAAACATTTTTAAGAATTACGGGAGAGTGCAGCTGAAACGGGAATACGATTTTGACGTCGACCGAACCGGATTTGTGGCTGTTGTATACGCGGTAATATTTTAAAGGTACACCAACAGCTTTTAATTTTAGGCACCAAATGCAGAAGGGGTCGTTAAAATTGTTTGGCCAACAATGGCCGCGATCACCGTATGCCTGACTATATTGAACGGATCTTTTTTGTATGTTTCTTTTCAGGCTTCGATCTACGTTTTTTTCAGGACAATTCTATACTGCGGTACAAGCATTTTCAAAACATTAAGAAAAGGTGTGATGAGCGAAAAGACGCGACGGATCCAGAAGGACATGTTCCGAGCTTTGGTGTTACAGGTAATTTTTATCAATTAGATCAATCGCGCTGCTCTAGTGCTTGGTCCCAACGCTGTTTGATTTTCTTCCTGCTATCGTAATATTTGCCTGTCCAGTCTTCGGAATCCCAAATGGCATCGACACGAGCTTCATTTGCATAACGACTAACATCAATATTTTTCTGCAACCTGTCGTTCTTCTATATTTTATCAAAGACTATCGCTATGCGGCTCTGAGGATTTTTAGGTTTTTTGTTTTTTAGATTTTTAGGTTTTAGGTTTAGATATAGACGAATTGTTTTAATCACCCATTATTTCAGCAAATTCACTCGTGCTACGAGGTATGTCGATCCTGGTATCACCGTTTCGGTAAGTTACGCCAAATTTTTATCCGGGAACGCCCCTTCATGAACCTGGAAAAACTTAATATAATTGGCTTTAGACCACCGAGACATCGAAAACTACACGACCACGAGGGTCGGGGAATTAGCCAAGTGTATGCGGTGCCGGTCCATAAATCATTTATGCTATTGATGAATTTAAGATACCGATTTCGAACCTTAAAATGGCACACTGAACTCACCCACGCAAGACCCGTTTCGAGTAAATAAAAAACTCACGATTTCCTTACAGAGGCTTGAATTTGGAGGTCAACTCTCTTCCCCCTAACCGAGCTTTCCAAGAAGACCGATTTTCTCGGAACGACTGGAGCAAGTGTCACGCTCGCATTTTTCTTACATAGCCCCAAAATTGTCATGTCCGGGCGGAATATAAAACCACTGCCCACCGTTTTAAGATTATCCATTGCTAGCCTCAACTTGCAAAACATGAAGCCTCCCGCCTATAGCCTGGCCGTCCCTGCATATCCTGAGAACCCAAGCAAACCAAGCAAGCCCAGCAGGGGAAACTGCTGCTATTTTCCGGCGGTCGTCTTGTTCGGGCTCTACTCAGCGGCCATCACATTCTATATCTGGTCCGGTTATCCAAGTTGCGAGGGATATTTTAATAGGTACCCATCCCCAAACCTTCGTCAAAATTTTGTATACCTTATAGGAACGAGATTAACGATGCGCCTCCATCTGTGACCATCTGTCCAGCAGGTTGGGTCTATGGGGAGCAGTTCTCAAAGTGTTATTTGGTAAGCGAAGATTCAAATGTTGGTCCGAACGCCCTCGTGCCTAACTTTAACTTGTATTGCCAAATTTTGACCGTATTGCGGGGGACAATCCTTCGTGTCCGATCTGCGAGGCTCGATAAGTTGAGTTTCGTAACTCGCCAAAAAGTTTTTAGCGCCGCTGTTTGCCTTTTGGCCAAAATTTTTCAGCTTTCCAGCTTTTGCTACTTAATGTTCTCAATCGTTTCCTTTTTAGCCGGTGTTGGGCCGTACCACCCACGACAAAGCACAACAGCGATGCAAATCTATGAATGCAGAAATGCTGACGATCAATAGCATCGAGGAAGACTACTTCGTTCTCAGTAAAGATTTCGGTCTGGGTTTTTATCAAAAAAACTTTAGATATGCAGGTCGACGACGACAAATTGTATCACAAATGCCAGTATCTGATCCTTGGTCCGAAATTTGATAATGTGAGCCGGGAAATCCAACTCGATTAGAATTAGATTTGATTTGCACCAAAGCGTTTTCCTTTTTGCAGAGCGAGCCAAGGCAGCTGCTTGGGCCAAAGGGCGAGATAGGCCTGTTCACGAATTTCTATCAAACCGAACCGAACAACAACCATGGTGAGGAGAGCTGCATTGAATCCAGGGTAAGTCATTTCGTATGCTGTAAGCTGTGTACTTGATTTAGATGTACACCTATGAACCTCCCCATCAGCCAAATACAAATTACACAGGAAATTGGAACGATTTCAATTGCAGCCATTCGCGCGATGCGTTTGTTTGTGAGATTCGTGTGTAAGAAGCCGTAACGAGGTTCAATAAAGTGTTTTGTGAACGGGTGTTGATAGCGGGACCAACGTATTAGGTTGGAACTAAAGTTCGCGCAATATTTTTCTTTCTTTGTAATTTTCGGACCGGAAAACGGGCAAGAACCAAAATGTTTTTTTGGATGACCGGATATGCAATAAACTTCTCTATTCGATGTGTGGGACGGAATAGCGTTGCTTCGCTATTAGAATTTTTTAAAGCTAGCTTTAAGCGAAAATGAAAAATCGCTTCGGCCCGCCTTTACAAAACAAAATTGGCTTCCTTTTTGGGCTAATTCGGCATGCAGCCAGTAGATACAACTTATTATCATATTGATGATCAATTTCTATGGGGACTTTATGGCGGTTCGGAAAGATGTCCGGGTCAAAAATTTGAAGTGCCCTCGAGAGAAACGCAAAAATCTTAAAAACTACTGGGGCTAAAAACCTGTAATTTTGATCCCACATTCTCATGAACCCAATAGATATATGCAAAGAGGGAATATCGGAATCTGGCCACTAAATTTTCAGAAAGAAATTTCCAATGTTCGATTGCGCGAACTTATGTTCCAACCTAATAATACGACGACACGAGGTTCTTAGAAAATTTGATCACGATCGTGCAAGGAAAACGCTCATATCTTTTCCCGTTCAGGACCCGTCAGGGATCACATTAAAAAGTCGATAGTTGTACATCACCAACATCTTGTCTATTGCCAGGAAATGCCGTCCTATTTTGCTCACAGCCTTCCTCTCCTCGACACTGAGAGAAAATCTCTGGCGCAGCAAGTTGCTGTACAAAACGTTCTCAGGGTTTCTGCGCCCGTTTTATCAATTTATGCGTTGGGCGTGACGATATGCATATATCTGCTCAATCGAGAAAATCAGGAACTGTGCGGGTATTTTCTGGATGCGACAGATATACGCTTAATTTTGTTTTATAGGGAGCCAGTAGCGGCCCACCAAGTCGCCAAAACTTGTCCGCCAGGATGGATACCGGCGTCTCAATTCAACAAGTGCTACAAGGTGCAAAGATCGACATCCAGAAAATCTCTTTAGGTGCACTTTGGGTATGCCAATCACGCAGATGCTACAAAACTTTGCCGAACGCTTGAAGCGGAACTATTGACGCTCAATAGCATCGAGGAAGAGTATTTTGTGTTGAGTATGAGCCTATCGTCGAAGCCCTTGCAAAGAATATTTCAGATTTGCGGATCCGCGGCGAAAAACTTCATGAAAAGTGCGATTTCTTGATGTTGGGCCCAATGTTTGAGGTAAGGGATGGAAATGCCGAGTTTTATTCCTTTCACACATGCTTTTCGATACCAGGAAAACCAATTTTTTGCGATTTTAGGGGGAATCAAGAGAATTGGTTGGTCCGAATGGAGAGCGTGATATTTATACCCATTTCCCCGAAGGCGAACCAAATAATGTTGACGGCGTCGAGCACTGCGTGGAAATTGGGGTACGCTATTTTCACCTAGAAATTTGAATATTTTGAGATGCATCACTACAATCCACCCAGTGGATCACCAGTCAATTTCTCGGGAACTTGGAATGATTATGATTGTGGCATTTCAAGATGGGCATATGCCTACGTCTGTGAAACGTATCTACAATAGAATAAAACTTACTCTATGCTTACACACTAGATTCTCATAGCCTTTGAATTTTTTTAAGTAAATCTATTTCGTATTTTCGTCATCCACCGACAGTTCAAGGTTGCCATCTCGGTTCCTGGAATAGAGCTAGCCCCAAAAAACCCTCTTTGATTGCATCCGTCTTGCCAGCTCCACGCTCTCGTCTTTCGATTTATCGCTCTTCGCCGAGTGATCATTTCCTTACATGGATTAATTAAATGCGAATTGCCTTATAATTTCGGAGATATCCACAAGAGATTGACGCAACGATGCCACCTCGAATTCAAGTATATTCGGCACTAAATCGTCAACAACCAGACTACTTGAAAAACATTTGCCAATGTGTGGCTTTTGCTCTTGCTATATATGCAATTGTCGCTACTAGTTGTATTTATTATTTATTACGAGGTGATACAACCTTGTGCGGGTCGGTGGAATCTAAAAATCTGTAAACCCTATAGGATCTCTCAGGACTCGGATGACCGCAGAAAAATTAGCCGAAGTGGGCCACTGCTTGCCCGGATGGATTCCAGCCACGAAATTTTCAAAGTGTTACAAGGTAAGGTTTTTATCTGTATTACCTACTTTTTCAGCCAATATTTGGAAAGGTAACCTACAAAGAAGCCGAGGCAAAATGTGACGCGTTGAACGCGAAAATGCTGACGATCAACAGTGTGGAAGAGGAATACACGGTTTTAAGTAAAAATTTCGGGTCAACGCGTCAATTCTGAATTTGGAGACCTAGAAGTCGACGGGACGAAGCTCTATCGGCGATTTGAATATCTCATCCTTGGACCACGGTTTCAGGTTCGTTTTTGGTTGGGGCCTCATTTGGAATTTCCAGGAGCTTCCGGAGAAGTCTGCGCCACGTCGGGCTGGCTATAGGCGCCTTGCGCATTGGGTAATACTAGAGCCTTGCCTTTAATGATTATCTAGTTTAATCTCATATAATCTCTAATCATTCTATGCATGAGCTTAATCATGTGATTTTAGAGAAATAATTGGGCCACCGAAACCCTGGCCCCTCGCGAACTTGTCTCACCATCCGGTCAACGTTCCCTCTATCACAATTTCCACGCGGATGAGCCGAACAATGCCGGCGGTCAAGAGTATTGCACCGAGATCAGGGTATTTATTTTAAAACCAGCCGATTACAGCCGCTTCGCGACTGCAATCGGCTGGCCTTCGGGCTACCCTCCATGTTCTACGCCACCATATTAAATCTCTACCTTCATCAGTACCCACGCTGATCACCTCAAATACCTAAAGTTCGATATCTTGCAAAAACTTAGATACCTAATCTACTTAGATACCTTCCTGATGGCTTCAGATACCCCCCATAGCCGAAATCCCCTTCAAAAACTACCAAAATCCCTTCCTGGTGGCTTCAGATACCCCCCATAGCCGAAATCCCCTTCAAAAACTACTTAGATTCCATCCCGACACTTTAAATGATTTAAATAACGATTTAACATAATTAAAACATATTGAAAAGTATTAAAGTAACTCAAAAAAGGCATCTGGGCTCGGGGAGGGCCTTGGGGAAGAGGGGCCAAGAGAAAGGGGCGTGGCCTCCCGGGGAGAGGGCCCCCACTCGTTTTATTAAGGCGCCACTTTCAAAGTTAATTATTTTGATTTAAACGAAAACTTTTTTATAATGTTTTGATCATTTAAGGGGTATCTGACCATGCTCTATCGGAATCCGAAGAGAGCTAAGCTCTAGCTCCTTTCCCCTTCGAGTTATAGTTGGCTTCAGACAGACTGACTGACAGACGGACACCACAGCAAAATTATTATAGTTGATATGGATTTTATTAGGTTTTATTCAGATGTATTCCTATGATCCGCCTCACCATCCCTACTGGAACTATTCGGGTATATGGAACGATTATAACTGCGATTACAAGCGCCATGCTTTCATATGTGAAACGTATCTATTTGGAAAATTAAGTGCTACAAAGACGCTCTAAATAGAATAGTTTATTGCGTCTTTTGGAAGTGTATTGTATTTATAAACTTCAAAGGCTCGATACCTAATATTTATCAAGCCGAATCTCACAAATGAAATACGTCGTCTGGGTGCAAGAGATGCTGAACCAGGTGTTGGCCCATTTTTTACCCTAAAATTGAGGCCTGACGTTGTGATTTTCCTAAGCTCACCCTTAAAATGACGCAGCGCTCATTTACACCGGAACCGTTTCGTCCATCTGGAGCGACATTTTCGAAAAGTGCAGTTTCGCCTCGAGGGCCGACGAGTTCATGAAGGGTTCCCTGGAGAAGTATAAAAGACTTGATATGCTACTGCTTACCTCAAAAGTAGGACCCAACCAAAAACCATCTTGATCTTTGACGGTACCGTCGCGGAACGGCAGATCTAAATTACTGGAATTTTTTAAATTGAAATTGTTAAAGCTTACTTCCGACAAAATCGCTTTCGGCAGAACTGCCAAGGGTCAGTAGCTCTGCTCCATCGCGCTGGCAAGCCAGCTTTGCAAATGCGTGCGTCTCGCTCGTCTCGACCGGCTGAAAGAATTTGTCACTATTGAACTCACGTTTTGTCCTACCTTGTAACACTTGGAAAATTCCGCAGCCGGTATCCAATCTTTTGGACATTCCCTGCGGGATTTCGCTGATAAGTGCGAACTTTGGGGATTCCTTAAAAATCAAAGAAAGATATCGATATTCTTACTGGCATTTCTCATTCGCCTCCCCGCTCAACAAGTACACATAAAAAGTGGCCGCAAAGCAGTAGACCAGTAAAGACAGGGCGATCCCGACCAACCACGTGTTGACGGCGCCCCGATTGTCAAGATTTGACCTTGGAATAAAGGATTCGTGGTCGCTGAAACGGATTTGCATCTCGAACTGTTTGGAAGTCATGCCAACTAGGCGGTGGAAAGATTTGCTCCATGCCCTTATTTGATGGTTCCCAGACCGGAAATGTTTTTCCTTGCGTAAGAGGCAGTCCTGATCGTCTGCTTGATTGATGGGGCTGATAGGAAGTTATCTTATTCACCACAATTATGGGTGCCTTGTACCGATCAGACTCTATTTCAGAAAGTGAAAATTGTTCATGACGCATCGAGACAATAGAATAAAAAATATCCTACTATATATAAAAAAATAGTGTTTGTGTGTGTGTGTATGACACTTTGCATGCAACTTCCGTCAGGTTGTTCCAGTCGTATCTCAAGAAGGAGGGAAGTTACAGGGGAGTTTGATACGTCATTCGGTGCGTAACGGCCTGGGAACGGCTGCACACTTTTCAGATTTTGGCAAAAGTTCTTTTTGGACATTAAAATTAGGTTTTTTCTAAAATTCTGGGCCATCCTCTTGGTTAGGAATCAATTAGCATATACCGGAAGTGGAACGTGACTTATAAAAAAGAGAAGAGGGCGCCCTTTTCACTTTTTTCATGCTAGAAGCATGCAATTGAATACTTTCACACGTCCTAGACGGGGCCAGGGTTGAAAAGCCGCGAAGCGGTTTTTCAACCCTGGTATCAACTAAATTGAGCAACTAACTTCTCAATTTGGAAGGCCTCAATCTCCATGTCCAGAATATAGATAAATACAGAAAGTGTGTAAAACCGGCTCGAATTAAGTAATTTTTTTACTTTCCCGTCGATTTGGCTTACCGGTCAGGACGAAAATCTTGACGTGTCCACACCCATTCACGTTCCTCACTTTTCTCTCACTCTCAGCTGTTTACCACCAATACAAAAAAATCGTGGCCTATGTTCAGCAGCAAGAACGCCTACCCCACACCTGGACTGCAAAAGAGCAAAAAGAACTAGTTTAACTCACGGCGCAACCATTTGATGTGCTAAGCTAGCATCTATCCATATTTAATAATGTACAAAAATTATAGAAACGCTGTACATTTCTAAAAAATCTCCAAATTTTTGCTACAAAAACCACGGCTAGACTACCTCAACGACCAGGATGATGCGATTCGCCACTCCCTGAATGGGAACTGCTAATCCGAAAATTCGGGGCCCGATCTTCCTCAAAACAGATCCAACTCCCAATCCAGGGCCCTGACAACGTTTTTGATAGTTATGGTTACCTCTACGCTGTTGCCGCTTATTCCGAATTTGTTTTGAGAAACAGCTAACGCTCTTGGGATTTGTGAAATCCGCACCGGATCTTGGCGGATGGATTGAATAAATTCTTATCTTGTTCGCGATTTGCACAGGGGCTACACCTGACTGAGGACGCGCCAAACCCTCCCAAATGCGCTTTGAATTTTTGCGTATCGTCCACGCATCGCTCGACATGGTCATGTCAAAATTTACATCGGTGAACTTCCGGAAAACCCTCGGATCGCATGCAAAAAGGTTTCGTTCCCATTCAAAATGTCAAAACTATGACAGGGGCTCGACTCGTACCGACCAATCAATTAGTCACCTACGAAAAATGGGGTACCACAAGAGTGATATCGCTTTCCGTCGATTTCCTGATCAATCGATCACTTCGTTCGTTTTTGCCATCAGCGCAAGGAAAGGGTTTTGTGCAAGGAAAACCTGAACACAGCTGTTGTAAGGCTATATAACCCCTAGTGGGTGTCTAAACAAAATTATTCTGCCACCAAAACTGATCAATGATGCCTCCGCTATATGGTCAACTTGAAGCAGAGGCGTTCATTACACAGAAAAAGCCTAAAAAACGTACCCATGGAGTCGGAAGCAGCTTTTTAATAGGGCTGACCTTATCGTTGTTGATTTACAATTCAGGGGCTACGTTCTATTTGTATTTACTGGCGCATGAAGCGGATTTCAAATGCAGGTATGTAGATTTCACAACCATCTTCTCTTATCTATTCTTTCCCCCTCTCCCTCTCCCCCTCTCTCTCTCTCTCTCTCTCTCTCTCTCTCTTTCTCTCTCCAACTCTGCTCCTCAATGCGTCTCTCGGGATCAAATATTCAGGACCAGTTGAATTTAGGAACCCAGAAATATTTAACGAAGTCCCGAAGTCAACGACGATGAACTTACCGACAACTTTGAAGCCCACCACTGAAGCAGTCACAACACCCAAGTCGACTACTGTCCCAGCTACGACGACAACCACTTCGACAGTTGCATCGACCACTCCTTTTACCACGCCAGCAACAACAACAAAGCTTTCTACAACTACACCAGAAACTACGACAACAACCGCCTGGACGATGACAGCAACAACCATAAAGACAACTAGTTCGACAACGACTTCGAAGCCTACTACAACATCTACATCCGTCTCTACCAAGGCACCAACATCTGGTTCACAACATTGTCCGGAAGGATGGATCTACAACCAGCAATTTTCCAAATGTTACAGGGTACAGTAAATTTCGTACAAAATCTGAAAAGCTCCTTTCAAGCTCTTCCGGAAAACCGCTGATTATTATGGCGCTACCAAAGCCTGTCAGAGCATCGACGGTGAGTTGTTGACGATTGGCAGCGCAGAGGAAAATCAGGCGGCGTTGGGTAGGTACTGGTTAGGATTGGCTCTTAAATAGGATTAGAGTTCAACTTCGATGGACATCTGTTGATGACCGAGTATCCAGTATTAATGCTGGGCCCAAGGTTTAAGGTATGGTGCTCGTTGGCCAATTTGGTACGCCTTTTAGGGTGATCCTCGACAGCTGGAAGGTACCAAGGGTGAGAAAGGTCTCTACTCTCGTTTCCATCCCGTTGAACCGAACAATGTGGGAGGTGTGGAAAATTGCATAGAACTTTGGGTAAGGTATCTCATCTATGACGAACAAAAAATATTTAGACATACGATGCTAAAGGCGCGCATACAGGCCTCTGGAATGATGTTAGCTGTGATACCACGCGGCATATGTTTGTTTGTGAGAGGTATGAAGGGCATTATAAGGTATCCTCACAAACGACGGATAGCATTGGGGAAGAAGGAAGCAACTAGTTTTCAGACCATCTGGTGATTTTCCTGCTGAAACGACGACGAAGCCGCCGAAACAGGCGACACTTGCGAAACCCTCAGACCAAAAATGCCCTGAAGGATGGATCCACATGGACGCATTTTCAAAATGCTACAAGGTATGTGTTATAAAACTTTTTTGTGAAAACACCCAAACATCAGGCCGGCTTATTTTCAAAATGTCGAAAATCAGAATGTCGAAATCTCATAAGGTCGAAATGTCGAAATTTCATAAAGTCGAAATGTCATAATGTCGAAATTCAGAGTGTCGAAATTTACATCGGCTAATATTCCCGGTGAAAATACCGAATCCAATGCAAAAAAATTCGACCTGATGAAATTTCGACATGATGAAATTTCGACATGATGAAATTTCGACATGATGAAATTTCGAATTTCTGAAATTACGACATTATGGAATATCGACATTACGAGATTTCGACATTATGAAATTTCGACATTATTAATTTCAAAATTTTGATTGCAATTCCATTCGGTCAAATACAGCCTTTTGAACTCTCGATGATAAGACGGAATTATAGCCCTTTGCCGAAGCGTCAACCTACGAAGAGGCAGCAAAGAAGTGCGGTTTGCTGAATTCGGAATTGTTGACGATCGAGAGTTGGCAGGAGAACAACGCTGTGGCCGGTAGGTCACTGGTAGAAAATTCAGACTATTTTACTTTACTTCTAATCGGTTAACTTTAGAACTTAAAGTCGATGGCGAATTATTCCGAAAACAATGGGTCAGATTATGGCTTGGCCCCAGGTTTCAGGTTGGTATCAATAAATGCCAAAAACCCTTGCGCTTTAGAAAAATACGCGCATGTTGCTGACACCAAAGAACGAACCTGTGCACTACACCAACTTCTATTCAAACAACGACTATGCCGAGCCGAATAATGTGAACGACAGCGAGTATTGTATCGAGTTTTGGGTATGACGATGACTTCTGTTCATCATCTAACCTTTCTTTGAAGAAACTCGACTACAAAGAGCCTTATCTGCCAAACAGGAATTTTACGAAGACTTGGAATGATGTATCTTGCGATGGAGAACTCGATGCATTCATTTGTGAACTTCATCTTTAAATCAGTTCCCGTTGTTTTTATCGCATTACGGGGCTTACTATTTTTTGCACATCCTTCCCGACCATAGCCTCGCTAATAAAAACGTCGGTCCTGGGTGAATGACGGCGGATTACTATAGCCATTGCTACAAGGGTGAATTCTATTTCGATTTCGATTCAAACCCGTTTCTGAACATATTTACACAGATTTATACATTCCATTCCAAATAAATCCTCATTGGCCCGAAAAATTTTATCAATAAATTTTTCAAAAAATGTTGGTTTCAGAAGTCTTCGTGCATGTGCAAAAATTCTTAGCGAGTAGAGGCCGTAAAAATCATAAAATCAACTTCTGTGATTTTTTATTCCTATAATATTTAAGAATTCTGGCAAAGTAACGATCGTCCGATTTGTTGCCCCTAGCGAGGTATTTCCGTGCAAAGTGCGGTTTTTTTTTCTTGCGCACCCTGTATCATGTTTTGGTTAAAAATATCGCCATTAAAAAGATCTGTTGTTCTGCATCATGTGGCCGCTCGGAAATGCATAACATTATTTCTCGCGAATTGTCGACCTGGTATTGGTAACTCGTATTTTCCTTGCCCTTTCGGCCTGACGGAACGGGATGAGCGGCCGGTTATTGATTGATGAGGATGGTGATGGTGGCGGTAATGTATTGCAAGGGCAAGATGTCGGCTAGACTTTACTTTACACCCCCACACGGTGCCCAAAAGTTTTTGGCTATAGCTTTTTCATATTCCATTGGTTTTGGCTGTTATTACAACGCGTGATATATTGCTTAATGCTCTATCGAGCGGCGTGGCCGAAATCCCGAAAAAATAGCAGGATTGTCGAAAAATTTTATGACCCGCTGGCTAGGGGTGGGGGGGGGGGTCGAGTAAAGTCTAGTCAAACTTCGGGCAACTTCATTCGGTGGATCAAAATGCGACAAAATTAATGAAAATCCAGCCTTCTAGATCCTATCAAATGCCCCCGAAATATGGACAACTATTGACAATTGACTCGTCCGGAGGATGCTCCAGGCTTCAAACGCCCGCTGTCCGAAACTTGCTGATCATTTTGATGCTGTCGACAATGATCTATACTTTTATAGTGACCGCCTGTATCCATTATCTTCGTCGGGGCTCTGCGGAATTATGTGGGCAAGTTGCAACCCAGGGCTTTTCTACTTCAGATTCAGAGTCCCAATGACAACGACAAAAATTGTTACCTCCGGATTCTGCCCAAAAGGATGGATACCGGAAACTAGACTTCTCAAATGTTATAAGGTAACGGAAACCGCTGAACCGCCGTCAATTATGCATCCGATTCAGCCATTTATACGACGGGTACCTTACGAGATTGCTGCGCAAAAGTGCCGCACGCTTAATGCTACGTTGCTAACGATCAACAGCAGGAACGAAGATTTTGCCATTTTGAGTAGGCGACGATCAAAGGGCGTTATTTTCCTTAAATGATCAGACCTGATTGTCGATGGGGAGCCGTGGTTTCGGAGAGGAGGAAGTCTGATACTTGGGCCAAAATATCTGGTATGATTGGCCCGGATTTGGTAACAAAACTTTGAATTTCGACTGATATAATGAAAATTTGTCGTTTCATCGTCATTACCAGTCATGCAAACGGCTAGTATGCGGACCTCTCCAAATGTCGGATATCGGCATTTCGCAGATCAGAATCCGGAATTTAATGTCGAATTTTTGGGGCTTCCTAATTGCAGAACCTCGAATTTCATAATCTAAAAAAACGGAGTTTGTCTTTTCTGAATCT